ATATATATATATATATAATCGAACAGACAAAACTTCCCTGGAAGCACACGACCGGTTTCGCGGTTCTTGCCGCTCGTCAGGCATGCGTATCCGCTAGTCTGTTGTCAGTTCATTCATATAGGTGTACCCAGGAATTGTATTTTCGTCACAATAACCTTGTTTGCAACATCGGATGATTTTGGGATAGACAGCTCTTTCAGAGCTAATCCACTGAAGAATCAATACTATGATTCCATATTCTGTAGATGAGTTAGATTCTATTAACCGCAACAAACGTGACTACGTAAGTACGAACTAGTTTATTCATGATCCTGTGTGCTGCCGGGAATTGTGACGACATGTTCACAATGAGACATCTCGTTATATGTACGCCAAAATTATCCATACCTTTACTATGAACAAGTCGGTTTTCTGGAATTATAACACTTGTACCTTAATTAGAAATTTCACCACGAAACTTCCATTTGCATTACGCGGAGTAACCCGGAGAAGAATTAAACTCCAGGAATTCCAACGATGTCATATTGTGCCATAAACTGTGGTCAGATTATTGAAACAATCATCTGCTCGTAGTTGAACGCAAATTCAGTCGAAACGGGGCGTACGCACATGGTATACGCGTGACATGGTACAATACGAGAAGACTGGTCTCGTGAGGCCTAATTCGAGTCGTAGTAAGGTTGTCTGAGTCACAATAGTTGTTTACCTACCACAAGTGTGGAACACGCCTTGGACCGGGACTAAACAGACATGACAGCAAGAGAATGAGGAGTAGGATACTTAAATGATTGATATATTAAATATGAGTACATAGCATACATTACTGTGTGCGTGCCTGCCCGCCCACACAAACACTAACACGCACACTAGCAGTAGGTAACAGGTACGGCGGGACTGAAATGACGTTTACGATGCGCGGGTGGTGCACTCAACTGAAAATGCACTAATCAAATAATGTTCCAGCGGCAATAGTTCCCAATAGAATCTATTGGTGAAATCGAGTGGGAATTTCAAATGGATTACGGTATCTTTTACTGAGAACGAAATTAGGGGGAGCGGAAAATCTGATACCTCAAATTTTCCGAACAAGGGATCTCAGATTGATCAAACGAAGTAGAGAGTAATCCTTGATGGAGGTAAGAAGGGCCCCTATACAGCCTTACTTGTTGTATAGTGATCTGTTTTATCAAAATTAAGGCATCTGAAGATAAACTTTATTTGATCCTACCAGAACGAACTGAGATTAAAACAAACGGCAGTGACGACTGAACAATCCTGTCTGGGATTTGAAACAGAATGACATACGGGAAGGAAATAACAAATTTTTTTCTTTGTTCGCACAAACAAACTTTACTTCATTTTTTGTGCATTTGTGCTTGACAACTTGAAAAGCGGACAGCTTTTGAAGAATAAAAACACCTTTCGTTTGAAGTATATGTCGAATATTTTGGCATAGTTTCATTTGGCAGTTGACAAAAACTGTCTACATTAGTGGATATCAATGCATCTGTAAAATCATGTACTGAATCCGGGTAAGAAAGTGAATTAAGCGATGAAAAGTTACGAAACAATCTATTACTCACCGAACCAAGTCATCCATGGACAACACATTTGGATAAGCCTCTTCGAGACGCATTTGCAACGCTTCACGTACAACCTGCTCCGCCGGCCGGTTATCTTGTTCTGACAAAATACAAAACGGATGCGGTTGACGATCGGAGTGGGGTGAAACAGACGCGGGTTGGGGTGGGACAGAACTGGATTGAGTCGGCAGTGGACGGACAAATATTGTGGAAAGACAAATGGGGCAAGGACAATCCGGAATGGACAATCCAGGCCATTTACTTTGGATATAGGACCAAAATGAAAACTCCTGCCCGGTCATGAGAAAACGAACGGGTTTCAATGCACAACCGGTCGAGAACGACAGCAACCAAATGACACGGTATCAATAAACAGCGATATGTGCATATAATACTCCGGTCACATGCCACCACTATCTAGCATCGACCCATGGTCAGTGTTCGATTACTTATACGTCACAAAATTCAAGGCGACCGGGCGGATGAGCCAAGGACACGGTACAGCTTGGACCAATCAGAGTATGTGTGGGTGGCAGTCGGGGCAAGAACGACCGGCACGAGAACCAATCCGTATAGAGCGGTTAGAAGGGAACGCATAAAGACCGTCCCAGTCAAGCATGCTCGTCAAATAATCTGGGTTGTTCCCTGAAGCGGTGCGAGGCATGCGAACGCGCGCGTGCATTTCAAACGTATTTCCTAAGGTACAATGCCGGCGGCTTTCATTACCTTTTTTTAAGGGAAGAAAACAGGGCTTTTCAACGCCATACAGAGCCATGGCTGTATGACACTGTCCATACTTAGTTTCCATTGAGTCAAAGATAGAAACCACAGAAATGAAGAGTCGAAATTTACTTCCAGAAAAATGAAATTTTTTTGGTTGCACAGAGACCAATCAAGTTTGGAATTTAAGTGTACCCGTTTTTACTACCACATTGTTATCTGGGAATGAAAACCAATCAACAGGAGTCAAAGACTGACGCCCGACAAACAGCAACTACCAATTGAGAATGCAAAACTAAAACCAAGTAAAGCCGCGACCCGAATAAGTGCATCAGATGGTAAGTGTGCACGCTCCCGAAGGTTTCCATTAACGGTGCCAGAAGCATGGGTTTCGTTCTGTAACAACCTTTTCACGTTGATTGAAAAGTGGTCTGTACTAGTTTATTAAGAAGAACCCGGATAAATAGGCGATCCTACTCCCATTCGGTGCAATCGGCCTCGTGGCGACTTCACATCGACTATTCTCCAAATTCAGGTTTCCGGTTACCTGTTCATCAACCTAGATCATGCGGTTTCCATTGCTCATCATGTGCAAAGTACATGGATTGGATTTATCATTCAACAAAAAATATATCCTAGCAACAGTGAAAAGGAGGGCAATGTAGTGAGACCGGGCGAAAATTCGATTGGTTTCCCGCAGCCTTGTGGGTCAGATTTTTAAGTTAAAGGCTCTGATCAGGGTTCCTAAAAAAACCTTCCTCGGTATGGTCTACCACCGTGTCCCAAAGTCTCAGGTACCTCTATTTGGAAAACCTTTTTTCATCTGTCTAGTTCTTCCTCTCACTTCCAAATCGTACTAGATGCCTCCTGTTTGCACCATCCACAGGACGTCACTCAGCGCTCAACTAGTAAGGTCAACATATCTTCTCTTTGACTATGCTCTGAACATTCCCATCTTCATTTCGCTCCCGAATCCAAATGGGCGGGCAAAAGACAGTAACCAAAACCGGTGAATGAAAATGTATGGCTGATGGTTGCAAAAACTGAACTCAACTAAATTCGAATGGTACTTCAATCATAATCCGGGGTGAGAGCCATTACTGAGTTGAGCAAAATTGAGATCATGGCAGGATACTCGGTGCCGAAAACAGTAGCACCCACGGAGCTGCTGCAACAAACGTTAGACCCCTTGGAAAATCGGATTGAAGACGGCAGCATAGATGTTCCAACCTGGCATACGCAAATCAAGTCTTTTGTTTGTGTGCCAAAACTTCACTCGAAATGTGTCCACCAGGTGAGATGTAACTGCCTAGTTAGCAAAACTTTTCTATGCGGTTCTGTAATATTTACCAGTTAAGTTGTAAAATGCACGCTGAGTACATTCTACCACGTCGACACCAATTGAATTGGCACTGACTACAAACGAGTGATGGTGTTTCTACAACACTAAGCAAGTACAAACATTATGTCTGCGAGACTGAGAGAAAAAGTTAAATTTCCATTTCGCAGTACGGACCAAAGGATCGCCCAAGCATGACCGTCACAACAGATGGCTTTACTCAGGCAGTTGACTGCACATACTGTTAGAGCATGAAAGTGGACTTAATTGAAGGAGGGGAAAATGATGAGTATGTTTCAATGTGCTGCCGGAATGTAAAACATGCTGGTATGAATACACCGTGCGTATATCGGAAATCCAGGCCAAGTTATTTATGGACAAGTTCAAAATTCATCTTAGCGCTATAACGTTCACCCTCTTTGACCAGTCGAAACCCCACTTTCCCTACAGAGCCAAAGAAACCCGGAATGTTTGATGAAGCCATTAGGTTGATTGCCGAAAAACGCCAAGCCTAATGATATTCTGTACGGCCATAAACGCAAAAAGGAATTAGACGATAGCCTGCTCTATGTTGTCGGATCACAGCACCAAGGTGAGAGTATATATATACGTACATAATATATATAAATATATATACATATATATATATACACGTATTGATACAAACTATCATCCGGGAATGGATCATGAAGCTTGCAACCTGTTGAGATGGTAATCGATCATTCAAGAACAACAAAAGTGATCAAATTCACCTAATAGGACTTGCGACTTTGTTCTACTGCCCGGTATCATGGTAGACAAACACAGTTAATAGAGCTGCTACGTAGCGTGCCCTCTACCTATGAAGTATCTGCAACTGCATCTACGTGCATGCAGCATCTAATTAACGAATGGTAAGGCGGAAATCTATGTGCACGATCGAAACCAAACGGGCACTGGAACTACTGACTATGATCACACACACGTGCGAGCTCCGTAAACAAAAACTGTAACACACAAAAACAGAAGGAAATGAAAATCAGCAGACAGGAGGATGCTGCTCTCGTTGAAAGTAATATGCAAAAGATCTCTGAACGAGCTGAAAGAGTGCGCAGAGTGGATCAGTAGTTCCGACTGGAATACAAAGCAAAGTATAACTTAGATAGTGGGTGGATCAACGCGCTTTATATGGAAAATATTTGCCTCGCTTATGAACTTTACCACAAACCCTTTGTCATTTCATTTCTTGAAATGACTGAAGAAAAAAACAGTGGACGGATATTTCTTGCTTGCTGGAAGTGTATACTTTCTATTCTCCTACTTCATCTAGAATCGCAGACAATTGGTTGGAATTCAAAACCTCTATCCTCTGGAAGACAAGACTGACGGATAGAAACACCATGAGCGCATGGCTACATTAGTCAAATTTGTTTTACCCCTAACACTCCCTCAAACTATTATTGGAATAAAATATTAGTTATGCGGAGGCAATGTGTCACACATCAATGAATAACTTTGGCAGAACTGCACATCAGCTTTATTAGCAATCATCAGGGGTGAATGTCCACCGAACTTGGGGGGGGGGCTCGAAATGGGGCAAAGGAAGTTGTTTACGTGAATAGCCAAACAACTTGTTTCACTTCCACGCTTCAAGGCATGATGCAATCCATCACTTTTGTTGAGTGTAGAAAACTTCACAAGAGTGATGAACGATTCCTTAACGGAGTACCGGATGAGCACGAACTTAGACTGCCGCCTTCTACAAACCCGTCGCGCAGTTACAGTTTTGTTTTTGTCGTCGATGGATTATCAGTCCACTCTTCTGAACTGGACTTCAACCACATGCAAAGGGTTGTGGTAGCTAGATGGGACAGTCATATTGGCTGGAAACTGTCCGGCTGGTGAAGTGGCATTTATTCAATGAAGTAGGAGGACTTCATCTGCTGTCAATAGAATAGCTCAACTAACCCAACCAACATCAATCTAGCGGTAGTTTCTCGACCGCCGTGTCAAACGACAGGGTGACCTCACCAAGGCAACAGATTATTTGTGGTGAAAGTGATACATCTGATAATAATTAATTTGAAAGTCAATGGGTTTGTTTTGAAAAAAAGAGGCATTGGATCAGCAGGTGAACTGAAAAGAAATTTTACAGTCTTAAAGTCAAATGGCTTTTAGAGGTAGAGAGTGAGGTGAAGCAGACCCATTGTACCAAGAGTAACAGACTCCCTCTCTTGGCATTAACACGAAATATATCATCTGATCTGGCACGCTGATTTATGATTGTACTTTCTTCTTGTCAACTAAGCCAATCAGGTCAAGTAAGACTGATGCCACGAGTAGATGACGGTTAATGTGACCAGGATCAATGTTCAATTCAGTTGGTAGAAAGACGGGAGAAAGACAAATAAGGACAAGTAAGCATAAAGATGGCTTGTTCAATTTCACTCGGTAGCTGGTCGAACTGACAAAGACAGCAGTGTCGTTTGTAGGGAGGAAACTGCAATAAGAAAATCGAAAGTGTCAATAGGGAGGCGGACAGAACGACGGTTCCTCGAAGTCGAAAAATCCGAACACGGAAAGATTGTAATAAAGCATTCGCGTCATGACTGCGAAACTGCATTTGGTCGAAAAGGCTCAGAAGACCCGTGAAATTTCACTAACGGAATGCATATGAAACTGAGGACAGAAGAAGAGAGAATGCAAGCACCAGAATCACACAGGTCAGAAAGATGAAATTGGGAGAGTTAGAATATCCAGGAGAAGCAGGTAATTGGGGTGTGACTAGCAGTGAACGAACCGGACTATTCGGAATCAAAGCTACAAAGAAGAAAAGGGCAGAAAGTACTGAAAACCTAATCCATACAGCAGACCGGTATTCATTTCGGAACACAAAATCAATCATAGTAAAGAAACCATAGAACAGGAGATTCTAGTGTCGCTTACAACCAGAACATAAGGTTCGGTATGTCAGTTACATATCGCGAATCACAACGAAGTAACATGGAGACAATCCATCCCGAAATAACGAATCTGCAGTTCGTGAACCTAGTGATGCGTTAGTTTAAGAGAGAAACGAAGATGCCGAATGTCGGTTGCATGTCAAGCATGATTTACATCGAACAATCGTAAACACGATGACGTGCTCTGAGACAAGGAGAACCGGTAATCTACGTTGAGAGCTGGAATGACTAACCAAATTAGGTCTCGACGGGATAGGTCGCACACGCCTGAACGAGAAAGCAAGCACGCTGTTAAATCAAC